TCACAAACATTTTGTATGGACTTTCTATATCGTGTTTATTGCATTCGTTATTGTCAATAAAACGTAAATTGAGAGATCATTTGCTCATAAAAATGCTATTTATTGACTTCCAGGAGAATTTGAAGGAAACCTGCTTACTGCGGCCACCCTGTATATAACGGTCACTTCGCCATTTCCCAAGGGTGACCGTATTGAAATTGCAAATCGAGAGAATGCTATAACGGTCAAGACCCTAACGAAAGCGAACACCCTCGGGAATTGGAAATTAAAAAGTGTTCATGACAAGAACTGTCCGGTATTGGGTATAAGTGGACACTAAACCAAAATAGAGCGGATGCCCGCTTTCGCCTGAAACAAGAAGAAAAGTAACGTGACAATACATATATGCTGTGTCGTACTCTTATTGATATAAAACGTACGAACAGCTTGCTCGCCCGCGAAAAATGGAGAACTGACCACACCGATCTCCACTGCTCTGTTGCTCTGTCGAAGGTCATAAGTTGTTGTCAAGAGTCAGTTGTTGTGCATGAAGTGTCCGCTTTCGAGAAAGCATAAACAAAAGGGAAATCTATTTTTTAATTGGAAGGTAAAAAGGCAAATTGAGAAAAAGTATCTGCAAGTAAAGGTGTCCCGTTACGAGCCAGAGTGTAAGTCGCTACATCAGTAAGCCAAGCGAACTCAAAATGTAACCAAACCAGCTGTGTAATTGGCATCTGACCCAATGAAATTTGCTAGAGGAGCGGCAATGCCTTCCTTTCCCCTTGTTATTTTCTTCCCTCAGAAAACTTTCAAGCTCAGTGAAAATGAGCGCTTGTTAAGGGCTCAGACAAAGAAACGCTTACATTGAAGAAAGGGGGGAAATTTGACTGCAAACGTGACATTTGATGGCCTGAGGTAAACGGTACGGTTATCTTTTTTTCAAGAGTCCTAATGTTTTCCAAAATATTCAGTGTTGATTATTTGTTTCAAAGCTTATTTGAGTCGGTGTTGGTGTAGCAAGGCAGAGTTCGAGTTTGACATGTCGATTTTTGGAAGGGAAATAAATCGGGCGTACAGGAGAAAGATCTTCGGTGCAAGGCCGAGAGTATGTTTTCTGAAGCTGGCGTGAATCAAATCAGTGAATACATGTGATCGATCGCAAACCGCTTGGAGTCACGCGAGCCAACTCCAGCGGTCACGTTCAACACTTAGGGCAAAGGAGTTTCAGGACGGTCAACTCCCTCAGCGCTTTTCTCTTTCTTGTAATTTGTCACGTATGTCCTGTAAAATATATGTGAGATGAATTTTTTCCTTTTTAACCAGTCCGTTTAGGACGTTAGAAAACCAAACTTTTAGCCTCATTTTGCGTTTGAAATGAAAGGCCTCCATCCTTTGTGAAATTCGAGATGGTGGCGTTCATGTTGATTAATTTATTCAGTTGGTAACTTTTAACCTTAACCCTTTTCCAGCCACCCACCCATACATCATTTAAATTACTACCACTACTGTTGTTATTTGTTTCTTGTTGAAATTAAGAGACAACATTATGTAAGTGTGTACATTGCAAGGCTGTTTGATGTGACACATATTGCAAACTAAAACAGCCACAACGATTCCCGATTTCCATTGCAGTGAACCGTTCATATAACAACAAATCCCAAAAATCAAGCATTCTGCTCCAAGAGCAACACTGAAAACGCATGGATCTTTTAAGATCAAAATTTGCTCAAGAAATCAAAAGTTTGCATTCAAAACAAACCTCAAGGCCAGATCTTGCTGTTTGGCTGGAAAATGCCTTCTCACTTTATCCGCTAGCCCTTGTTCCTCCATTTGACGAAAGCTAGTGTCGCAAACACAACCTTTGCCTCGTTTGACCGAAAAGAATTCTGGGAAATTCAACCACAACTCGAGAAGGGAAAACTCCACGCTTCCACTTTTACAAATTATTATAAGTGTCGGGCCACGCAGTCCTAGCAGCAAAATACCACATCCATCGAGACTTTTACCACTCAAAACTGGCCCAAAAAGCCTTGGTAGGTCCTTCTAGCCATCCACAGATGGGCCAGAGACGCGACTTCACTTGTGAACTCGCCAAGCTTGAATGAAAGCATTTTGGCGGTCCAGTTTACATGAAACCACCTCTCACCTCTGTTTTCTTTCAGAGGCTTGCCTCTACCCACATTCCAGCTTAATAATGCTGTCCTGAGGGCTTCTGTAGAGGGAAAATGGCTCGAAAAACACTTATAAACGCGAGAAAACGAATTGATTTGAACGCATCCAAACACGAGCGGTTGATCTAGGTCACGTGACCCCAAAATCTGAGCCCATGGTGTTTCAAAACCGCAAATATTGTCAGGGATACCTCATATAACGAGAAACAAAGTGAGCTTAAGTTTTGTATGATCAAATTATAGGTTTTGTGTGCTGGGAAAGGGTTAAACTGCTAACCGCGGTTTCGCGTCTGCGGTTGACGCATGCACACCAAACGTAGATCTAAAACTTTTTACAATATCTCTGACGCGCTTATTGGTCGAGAGTCATTGTCCATAAGGTTAGAGATCATAAACATGACGTATCGTGCGCGCGTATGATTTTTCGAAAACTTAACCGCATATGCAGGCTTCTTTTTGACATTATCTTAATTTTATTGCAAAAAATAAATTGACGCTACGCCTCGTGATTTTACTTTAGTTTTCAAATGCAACTATTACAGGGGGTGTGTAGTTTTTTTTTAAGGTATTTAGACTTTTATCTTGTGCATGTTATGTATTATTTCTCGTGGCTTTTTGATTTTCCAAACAGCTGAACTATGGATCCAAACGGACTGCGTTGTAACGTCATTGATGAAAGTTCACTTTCAGACTTGTTGATTTTCCATATTTGATTATCGCCATGGGCTTCCCGGTTTTGTTACATGGGTCGACCTGCGTGTTACTGTTACTAAACAGAAAAAGTCATTCTGCAGTGTTTGCGTCCACTGAAGAGATGAGCAGCAAATTAAAGCCGAGCAAAGCTGGAGACGGAAGGCACTTGGATTCCCAACCAAAATTATGACTACGATTTCCTAGCTACTGGTCACAAAAATGAGTCCTCACACCCTTGAATTAACGCATTTTGCTGAGCTTTCAGTAACCACAAACCAGTATTGCATTATTATTTTTTTTCCCCACTTGTAGGGTAACCGCCTCCCGGTTAGGGAGGTCAATTGGTTAGAGCGCCGGATTGTGTTGTGCGGTAGGACGAGGGTTCGAGCCCCGGTCGGACCAATACTCATGGTCTTAAAATAAGTGAAGAGAATTTGCTACCTTTCTATAATCAAGAAATGGATAGATATTCTAGTCTCCTCGGATAAGGACGAATAATTAACCGTAGGCCCCGTCTCCGGCAGGGTTAGGGGAAGGGGACGTTAATTTCCCACGCACGAGATTACTGTGTGGTGGATGTCCTCCCCTGGGTGGGATAGGTGGGTGTTGGCTCTGAAAAGCTCCTACGGGGAGTGGTCAATTAACCTATATATGTAGGTATGTATGTGGATCTATTTTTTTACTTTGAACTCGTAAGAAGTAAAGGAACAGAACCGGTAGACCTTGGCCGGATTGTAGGAGCCGGTAAGACGGTAGGATTCTCGGAGCCATTCCGCTGATGGAGAGCAGGTAAAAAATTTTACAATCCCTGTTGTAGATCTAGAGACGGTTGCAAGACAGTCATCCCTTCTCTTCGGAGCCTTTCGATCATCTACCGGTACCTCTCGGTACAAACCAGATCGCAGGATTAGTAAAGTACCGTCCACTAACAAACTGAGAAAAAATAAACGAATCTTACAACCGGAGAGTCATAGCCGTCATTTTAACTTTAATTATTTTTTCGATAAGTAGAGGAGCTCAAAGATCATAAAGAATTCTCCTGAGCATTGATGTTATACGAATGTAACTTGCGCCAATTTGTCGCATGATTTCACAAACCTGCGCCAAGCAACCGTTTTTTCCCTTAAGCGGGAGCCCTCCTGTTATTGGATAATAGCGAGAGCCTTCTTGTTTTCTGCTAGGCGCAAGTTTCACCGTGTGAAAATGGGTAAAGGAGTGTCTAAAAATATTCAATCCCATTTTTATCTTTCTTCTCTTTCTTCTCTGTATAGTTTTATTTTTTAAATATAAACGCATTAAATGAAACCTATTTTTTTTTTTCAATCAAAAACTTTTGTAATATCGATGTCTTGTTGCTGAGGTGTTGTGACTTATTTTTCACGGGTTTATACGCGACGCTTGATTAAGGTCAAATTAAGGACGTGTTCCGAACATTTTACAGAAAGGCAAGAATGTGATTTGAATTTGTCCCTATAAAATTCATTGCGCGAAAAATTTTGTTTAAGTGTACCTGAGTCATGAATCTTTCTCAAATTCGTGCGTGAAATGAGATCACACCCTTTGCTACCCTGTGAATTCTCAAATTCATCGAATAAAATCAAGTTTGATCATTTTAACTTTCCGTGACTCATTCGACCGAGGACCGGCAAATCATTTCGTACGTGATGTATCGTTTATACGAGGCCAACGTTTTTGAAAAGTTAATTTTAATTTCTCATTTTTTTCTAAAGAGCTTGGGAATTCGTGATATCCTGTGTGCAAAGCAAATAAAATAGAACAAAAGAGGGAAAGTTTTTGGCAAATACTTCCACCTTGTTTTGTAAAGAATTCATGAAATTAAATTAAATGGTCTGAAAACGCTGTTCTTTTCTAAAGTTGCTATATTCAAGCCATTGTAATTGCATGATTTAGCAGTCATTAAATCAACAATATAATTGAATTATATTGAAATAATGAGGGATGCACCTTTGCAAATACTTTTAAATTACTAAATGATTTTGTGAATTGAGTGAAAAAGCACAAAACAGGGCAAGGTTCAAGTGTCGATAGTCAAATATTGTTAATGGCTGTTTTTACTCTGAGCAGGTGTAAAAAGATTGATTCCTATTTAATCGGTGTCGATAATCACCAGTTTTATTATAATCACGAAGATCATCATGAAGGTTATCGTGTTTTTTAACTTCTTGTGGTTTGCCTCAGTTTTGGCCTCCTCTCCAGAAGGTATGGATAACATCAATTACTGATGGCTTTGTTACCTTCTTTAACAGCAGCAGTATAGAAAACTCGTAAAGGCAAGTTAATGCACAATAACGTACAAGCCGTATAATGTGACTCACTGGAGGACTCACGCAATTATGAAAAAAAAAAAATTATCTCAGTAGCATTTGGGCCTTAACTCATTCGGTTGTTCTTTCCCCTGTCGAGCAACTTAACATTGTAATGAGTTTCATGTCGTCCTGTCAAAAGAGCATGAATAGTAAAGTGAGATGGTTTGAAAAAAATATTACGCAACAACAACAAAAACTCCTCGTATCTGAAGTGAAAGATGATCTTTTCCAAAAAAGGGGAAGCAGAACTGCCTCGTGTGAATGCAAACATTTCTATTTATAACAACGACAAAAAAAAAAAACCTCATGAATGCGTCGGCATAGTTTTGTTTTTAGTTTTACAAAGGACAGAATTCGTGCCTTTATAGGATAACATCGTGAATAAAAAACGTTCGTTAAAAACGAAGAAAACATTTTCAAAAAAAAGTTAAGACACCTTTCCTCTTATTCTTAGTGAACGTAACCTTTCTTCCCTTTATAATAAAAAAAAAGATTCAGTGATTACTCAAAACGGCCAAGTCTGTGAATACTGCAATCGGCAGTTTACGCCGTTATCATCTACGGTTTACCAGAAACACCGAATTGCTAAATGTAACCAAGGAAACGAAGCCATTGAATCAAAAAATTTCAGAACTCACTCCGCCTACCTTTGGAAATAAAAATAGTTTCGGAGAGCCAATAGAATTTAGCTCATACTAAGGAGAAAATTAATTATAATTGCTTCGACGATGGTCTGCCTAATAACCATTGTAAATGTTATTCTTTGCCAGAAAATTTGAATACCAGAGATGCCGAACTATTTGAAGGCGATATGAAGTTTTTACCAGGCCAGGCCAGAGGTTCAACGCCCGGAAGATTGTGGCCGAATGGGACCTTTGTGTATCAAATTGAATCAGATTTAAGTAAGTGATATAAGAGTACGTAAAATCTTCCCCTCGCCTCTCCGGCCTCCTTCAACAACAATTTAAACGCTAACACACCAGGGCTCAACAGACATATTTTAGCTCTATCTTTAGGCAGATTTTCGTTAAATGGTATTAATATTTAAGTATTAGTAACATTGCCTATCTTGGAACTAGAGGATTGACCGGATTAAGATAAAATGTACGATCGGCCTTACGTATTTATCCAACTTCAACTTCAACTTTACTTTATTTAGCACTCAAGTTTTAGTTACAGTATTAACATAAAAAAACGGGAAAGCATACATATGTAAAAAATTAAAGGTAACGGTGTTCCATGGTTCGCGCATGGAGGCTAAGAAAACCGCGAAGTTATCGAGTCAGTCTCCATCTCTTTTGGACTCACATAGAAGAAACTGGGAGTAGGGGGACGGATTACTTAATTAAAAGCTAGAAGAATTGTGGAAGACTTAGGTTTGAGATAACTTGAATGATAGATTGTTTTAGCACTTTTGATTTGTGGAAACTTAGCTTTGATATTGCTGAGATAGATTAAAGTTTTTAACACTTTTGGAGAAAGCAAATTGATTTAGGTCTTTAAACTTGTATGGCAGTTCATGCCAAAGATCAATGGCCATAAATGATATCATTTGTTTGCCAGTATTTGTTTTTACTCGAAAAATGTGAAGATTTTGTCCGGCCGCATACCTGGTGTTAAAATTATGTACGTTAAAGAGTGGTTAAAGTGGTTAAAGAGTGGTTAAAGGTGGTTAAAAGTGGTTAAAAGTCGTTAAAGAGTTCTGGGAAAGCACCTTTATGCCATGCATGAATAAATTTGAGAGCATATAAGCGAGATATGTTAGCTACCGTTAACATTTCCAAGATATTAAGTAGAGGCAGTGCACTATCGGTATTTTTTCCAGATAAAGTTCCAAAGAACATTAACCTAATAACATGATTTTGCTTTGTTTGTATTTTATGCAAATTCGTCTTGCTGGTGCTGCCCCAGGTAACAATAGCGTACGAAATGCAAGGATAGTTAAGATTATAATAGATCTGCGCGCGTAAGTGGTTCGATAGGTAGATAATGCCTCAACTTAGAGGTTACTTCTGCATTCCGTGAAAGCTTAGCGCACACATAAGAGATGTGATATTTCCGAGTTAAAGCACTATCGATCATTACTCCTAAATATTTGATGTGGTCCTTCCATTCTAAGGAGTGGCATGATCCATCTCGATTAGTTATCTTTATATTAACATTCATGCTCTCTTTCCTTGGGGATTTTCCAATCATGTAATTGGTTTTCGTTAAATTTATCGATAGCTTGTTTATGTCGCACCATTCCTTGACTTTTTTTAGTTCTACATTCATTTGCATTTCTAATGATTGTATATCTTTAGCAGAAGCAAACAAGTTAGTATCGTTCGCAAAAATCCTAAATGAAAGGAACTCAGAGCAATTAGGGAGGTCGTTAATGAATATCAAGAATAGGAAAGGGCCTTAACGAACTACCTTATCCAGAAAGTCTTCTCTTTCTCTCCCATGTATTCTAAACGACTTTACTGAAGAATGAAAAAAAGCCTTTGACTGGTGGCAACGAATAGCTAAAAGCCTAAAGTCACAAAGTAAAACGTGATATAGAAATCAACTTTACTTGCATTTTAACAAATGGTTTAGTGATCAAAGCATGCTGTATTACATCTGAAACGTCTCATGAATATTTTTAGGAAAAAGGTATCATTAGTTACAGCGCATTTTCCCAAAGTTTTTCAATTTGCTGTATTACATTGGGATGTTAAATGCTTATGCTTCGTCACACCAGATAGAACCGACAAAACCTCTCATAAGGCGAACAAATCGACCCTAGGGAACCTATTGGAGTTAAGGGCTGTTGTTGTCTTTCAGAACAAAAATATCTCTTTCCTTTTTGATAACTTTTTATGAAAGCTGGCCTGGAACTCTTATCTCTTACTCCTTTTTGTTAGGTTCTCAGCCCCAAGCAATGTCTGGAATAAACAGTGCTATGAGAGACTGGACGACGAAAACAAAGGGCTGTATCAAATTCAAGAAAAGGACTTCAGAGACAGCATATGTATCATTTTTTAAGGGTGGTGGGTAAGTCTACTTTACTTCAGGTCAACAAATCACCGTTTAGTATTGATGTCAAATCTTTGATTTTACTTGTATCGCCAGTATGATTGAATAAAGGCACGAAATTAGCATCAACGATTGATTTCAGAGGAAATTTCTCGCGGATAAGTCGATAATTTCTGAGTACGCTACCTACGTTTTTCCAATACTGAGCAACATGGAAGGAAGTATATAAGTCAAAGAGAAATTCCGTGCCATTTGGCACTCTTCCGCAATATAAGTTTATAGATAAGAAGTTTGAATATATTTGGCTTTATTTGCAGAAAATCACCTCTTAACTCTGTAACAGCTCCGTATTTTATTCAACAGATGCTGGTCTTACGTAGGACGAACTGGGAGAAAGCAGCAATTGTCCTTGGCGGGTGGATGCTGGAGAAAAGGAACTGTAATCCATGAAATTGGTGAGATGTTCAAACTTACCTTATTGTCTTGTTAACTTTTCTTCATCCTAAATTTGTTTATGGTATTCATAAGCGACTTTCAGATACACAATATTTTTTGTGTCGCAACATTTGGTTTCTTTCAGTAACTTAAATGACATTTAAATCGAAAGAAGCTCCAAATCCGAAGCTTATCGACAACTTAGAATGATGAACAAACCATAATGTATTCAGCTACTGTGCAGGCAATTTGCTCGTCTATAGCTGCGGCCGCTTAAACTTCTCAAATTCTTATTCGAAAATTCTATCTACTACACAAATCACAAAGTCCTATCTGTGTATTTCAAATAATCAGCTCCATATTCAAAATCGTCTTCTATTTTTTTTCCTCTTAGGTCACGCTCTTGGCTTTCTTCATGAGCAGTCTCGTCCCGACCGCGATAATTACGTGGACATCAAGTTTGAAAATATCCAATCAGGCAAAGAAAATAATTTCCGAATTTCGAACTGTATAAACTCGCTAGGAACACCCTATGACTATGGATCCATCATGCACTATGGCGCGAGGTACTTCTCTAAAAAAGGACAGCCAACAATTGTCCCAAAGAAACCAGGAGTGAGTGGATTATAAAGAACCAGGTTTCCTACCAATTTTTACGTGAATTTATATCAAAGACGCCACTGAAGCAGACCTTAGGTAGTTCATTAATTCCTCGGTAACGTTTTATGAGAACTATGGTTTAATGTGAAAAGTCGTTCTGTCAATTGAAAAAAAAAGAAACTAGAAAAACAGCTTTTCTCTTTCGGCGTAAATTAATTACAGTTTTACAAGGTTAACAAAACAAGAGGCGCCCTTAAAGCGGAAAAACATGTTCGCCTCGGGTAACCTTTAAAGCTTTCGGTGAATTTTTCCTTTGAAATCGGCAAGCACCTCGACCGTGTTACAAGCGGAAATACATATCTAAGGCGGTCAACATCTATGATCTATTCAATTTTCAATATTAAGAGATACATCCTCTAAGAAACCTTATACCTAAACTGAAGGTCACAACCCAAGTCGCCGGCCAAAATTAAACACGAGTCGAGTCAAGAACTCCTATGTTTATCGGTTAAATCTTAATTAGAACATAGCTAGCAGAGCCGCGCAATCACATTCAATATACGTAAGCGTGCTCAAAATCCCGACAGTGCACGCTGACAGCGTCAGCAAATCGCTTCGCCAGAAATTTTTTTTTGCGCGAGCGGCCAATGTTAGCGCGGGGAAAAATAATATATTTCGCGACAGTAATGGATACAAACAGAAACTCGGCCTACTAGTCCGAAAACGAAGACAATGTTTGGACCTTTTCCCTTGGGCTAGAGTTCTTAAATGAGGCAGAAAAAGAGAAAAACAACGGAAAAGGAGACTCGGCATCAGCGCCGTCAC